TTTTTTTTTTTTTTTTTTTTTTTTTTTTTTTTTTTTTTTTTTTTTTTTTAGTTTAAATATGTTTTTTTTTAGATTTCTATTAAAATTTAAAGCTTTTAAAAATTAAAAATTTATGAAATAGGTTTAATTAATAGTAATTATTTATTATTATTATTATTAAAAAAAAAAATGAGAATGATATATTTGAGTACGTATTAGCATGTGGATGTAGCAGCATCCACCATCATGCAAAATTAAGAGGCATGATCATGAGGATGAACCCCGCTTGTACGCTTCGTCACAGACAAACAAACCTCCACTTTTATTTTTCTTTTTTCTTTATTTTTTAAAAAGAAAGAGACCTGATTAGGACAATGGTTGCAATTTCTTTTCACTTACCCTACTAATAATATTGTGAATACAAATGGATTTTAGAAAAATAAAACTAATTCTTTTTTATTTATGAACGAGTCTCAAACCTAACAAAGACTTGATTAAAGCTCAACCCAAAATCAAATCTTGGTTAGTCAAATATAGTCTGAACTTTTTATTCATTAGATATGGATCATCACTTTACTGATTACATAAACCGTATCCAAAGTTTGGTTGACTCGATCCAAGCTCAAATTAAAGATAAAATAGAAAGGCCTAGTTCGTATCTCGAAATATTATAGTCTCATTTGACTCTTGTAATATTCAGGAAAGTTGACCTATTTCTTGAAGATTGACGATCATAAACCAGTAAATTCATTTATTAAGCAACTGTTTTTATTACCAAAGTTGTGTTTTTTTTTTTTTTTTTGTAGAATTATTATATTTGTCAAAAGTAAAACTGTTGTTAAAAAAAAATTAATACATATCAATATTTGAGGAGACAGAGAAATAAAGGGTAGGAAAGGAAAAAGTCAAACATGCTTCAAGCCTATTCCGATTTGGTATAAGAATTTATTCACACCAAACTCCAAAGATTTATCTCAATAATAAAAAGAATATAATAATTGTAATAATTATGATGGTATATATATTTATATATATTTACTTTATATTATTAATAATAATGTAAGCAGTAAGTAGGCCCTTGGTGTAATTGTTAAGCTGAAATAAATAAATGAATTATAATGGGGAATGACGCTTTTATTGTTTTGTCTTCAATGAAATTAATTAATAAAAATGTAAATTATAAATACGTAATTACTACAATTTTTGTACCTTTATTTCTATGTTAAAGGTAAATGATAAGCTTTTTTTTCTTTAAATAAAAATAAATTTCTCAATTTTGTTTAATAATTAATGGAAAATAATTTATGGTTGGGTTTTTTTAATAATTATTTTTACATGAAAATAAAGAAAAAGTGAGAAAAAGGGTCAGGCTGACCTTATTCTGGGGAGACCACATGCCCTATGAGCATGCATGCAGCTCCAAATCCAAGCCTTTTAGCATCTCTACTTTTTGTTTTATTTTTCTTTTTATTATAATAATATTAATAATATTAATAATAATAATTATTATTTTGAAATATAGAAAAATTTGTAGTGGGATTTTAATCTTCAAAATAGGGATCCCTATAATAGAGACCACTGGAAATCCACGCGACTTTGTGCCGCTTGTTATTCACGTGATTAAGAGATAGGATCTCCTCTCTTAACAGGCCTGATGAACACGTAATTATCTGTGGGCCCCATTTTGACTCTGGGTACCCTCACGCGCTTCTGTTTATAATTTTTTTCCCCACTCGACAATCTTAACCACCAAGGTACTGCCACCAAAATTCTCCTTAAAAAAAAAAAAAAAAAAAAAAAGTAAAATTTTATCATTTTTTTAAAAAATAAATATATTTTTTTATTTGTGTCTTTTTAATTCAAAATGTATATTTAGATTTACATTTTTTCTTCAGAATATATTTCCTATAATTTAAAAGGTTAGAATAAGATATAATTTTATTTCTTGAGTTTTAAAATATTTATTTTCCTTGTTTAATATTCTATTAGCCTTCCATTTATTGGCACTCAATACTCATCTTAATAAACTTAGTGGATAAACCCTAATAAATAAATAAATAAAGAGTTTATGAAAATATTAGTTTTTTTTTTTTTTTTTTTTTTGAGATTTNCTAATTATTAATATTATTAATATAATGGCTTTAATTTTCGGATCTCCATCGGCCTTATATTTATTTGACTCATCTTATCACAAAATCTTTAATACTCTTTTCATTATTTCGCAGTCTTCTCCACTCCAAACTCGCCGTTAACTCGTCTCCTTCCTTTTCCGCCTGCGCTCTGCCGCAGCACCGATGGAGCTTGGCTTGAGCTTAGGCGACACTCCCGAACCCTTCCGTTTCGTCGACAAGCAACCGCAACCTCAGCGCGGGCTTTCCCGTCCAGATTTAGGGTTCTGCGTCGACTTATCGATCGGCCGTACTATCGCCGGAGATAAAGAAGGCGACGAAGAAAAACCTAATCAGAGAGAAGAGGAATCTGACGGCAATGAAGATCCACCGATCCAACTCGATCTTCTCCCTCGCAATCCTGTTCAACGGAACCTAACAAATCCATACCAAGGATTTCCATGGCCGTCGTCCGAAAACGGTAAGGTTTTCGAGATTTCGAAACCCTGACTGTAACAACCTTCCAAATCACGAAATCATTTCCCCTGATTTTTCTAACGGAAATTGATTGTTTTCAGACGAAGTTGAAGACCGATCCGCATCGCCGAACAGCGCAGCGTCGTCGTTTCAAATGGAATTTGGATTGTACGGCGGCGGAGGGAACATTTCTACACGGATAGATCAAATGAAAAATAGCGTGGTAAACGAAGTAGGTGAATCTGAGCGAGCGTCTTCTCGAGCGAGCGATGAAGACGAAAATGGCTCCACGAGGAAGAAACTCAGATTGTCGAAAGACCAATCCGCTTACCTCGAAGAAAGCTTCAAAGAACACAACACCTTGAATCCAGTAAGAACACAGCGATTGATTTCTTAATTTTAACCTCGAATCTTAATTTCTGAAACTGATTCTTGCGATTCCGATTCCGATTTGTACAGAAACAAAAACTGGCGCTGGCTAAGCAACTGAATCTTCGTCCGCGCCAAGTGGAAGTTTGGTTCCAAAACAGAAGAGCCAGGTAATTGGTTCAGTCGTTCGAATCAAATCAGTTATGGAATAGATTCTTTGGGGAAATTTGTTGAAATTTGTAGAAATTTACAGGACGAAATTGAAGCAAACGGAGGTGGATTGTGAGTATTTGAAAAGATGCTGTGAGACATTAACAGAAGAGAACAGACGGCTACAAAAGGAGCTTCAAGAATTAAGAGCTCTGAAGACCACGAACTCATTCTACATGCAATTACCAGCCACCACACTCACCATGTGCCCATCATGTGAAAGAGTCACCTCCTCCGTCGCCACAGCCACCGACGGCGGAGGAAAACTACCTGGTTTCGCCATTTCTGGTGGCGCAAGCTCCTCTTTCCCATTTTCTGCAAAAACGCAGACCCACCAGTCAACAACTTCATGATAAGGAGATATGGGTTAAGGCGAATCATGATGGTGCTCCCTTTTCTGTACATAAAACCCTTTCCCCCCCCCCCAAAAAAAAAAAAAACCAGTAGAATCCGAGAAAAAGAACAGGTTATTATTATTATCAACATTTCTCTTTCTCCTCCTCTCCTTGGAGCTGTTTCTTCACCATTTTAGGGACTGTTCTTTTAAATTAATTTTTTAATTCCCCCCATGCATTTTTCTTTCTTATATATTGTGAACAAAGAAACATGAAGAAAAAAGAAGATTAGAATTCGTGTATACAATCTCAATAATGACTGTTTTTTGTTGGGATTCGGTTCTTGTTCGTCTTTCAGATTCATTTTTCTGATTACTGAAGAAATTAGCTTTAGTTTTTGTTTGTTAATGGTGATGGCGTTTGGAAGAGCTGAGAAACAGAGCATTCATGGTGGGTGAGGGGTTTAGGGAGAAGAAGAAGAAGAAGAAGATAACGGTCAAAAGAAATGGATGGGCGGGCAGGCAGGCAGGGGGTAATAATGTAAATTCGCATGGTCGTGCTCCCCGTGGATGAGCCAATTATTACGACTGTGGTGTCCCCAACCAGCATTTCGTACTTCTGCGGCTGCGCTGTTGAGGCTCTCGACTTTATTTTCTGTTGGGGTTTATATTATCTTTTTTATATCTTAATAATAAAAATAATTAATAAATTTTTTTTGTGTGTTTAATTGCACGTGATATCTCACGTGACTGATCCGCCGCCTCCCTTCCAATTTCCTCTCTTTGCTCGTGCTTTGACTCGTCGATGGAAATCTCGTCACTCTGGTTTTTCTTTTTCTATTTCTGGGATTTAATTCGTTTTTTTTTCCCCATTTTATAAAATAATAATAATAAAAGAAAGGCACATATATTCTTCTCACGATGATGTGGCACCTTATCAGCATGCCACGTCACCAAACATTCTTTATTTAAATAATAATATGAAACCGACCAGGGTCCCGTTCCAAATCATTATTTGGAAAAGAAATTAAGTAGGTGTGTGTGAAAAGAAAATAGTAATTAGAAAGCTGAGCTACTTAATTATTAAAAGTAAAAGATTAATGAGAATAATAATATTAATTTTATTAGTGGGATTTTGCAATCTAAAAAGAAAATTATATGGCGTGGAAAAGTTTAAGATAGAGAGGAATTTGGGGTTTTAATATATTTCCAATATGGTTTCTTGAAATATAATATAAAGTAAGATTAATTAATTAATTAATACATGCATGTTGGGATGAGATTTCCTTGTAAACTTGTGTGGGGTCCCTGACTTTTCAACCATTTCAAAGATGGCGATCCATGAAATATTGGTAGGTGAGAAAATCTAATGCTTAATCAATATTTATTTTAAATACAAAAATTAAATTAAAAATATTTAAGTGTTTTGACTTTTCTTTTCATAATTTTTTAAATTATGCTTCTTTTCTTTATGCGTTGAATATTTGCAACCAAAATTAAAAATTCCAAAAGGGCAATGACGTCAGGTATAGACCTTAATTTAGTATTTAATAATAATAAAGCCCAATACATGGCCCAAATCCTTCAGCGCCCCAATTTTCCGCATGGCCTTCATAAATTGGATCATTTTCGATTAAGCCCAGGACTTAGAACCGGTTTTGGGCTTTAAATGGGCTTGAAGCTCAATTGTCTGTTAGTTTATGGGCCAAGGCCTTTCCATGGGCCGAGCTTATTCATTTATTAATTCTACGCAACTTATTAGTTGGTTTATGGGCCATGTCCTTCCCAAATAGGCCCACGCCAAAATTAGCTTAAGCTAACCTAGTCCGGTCCAACCAAACCGACCGCTCCAAAAGTTTATTGGACTAAATTAAATTGTGGCTAACTAAAACGAAACGAAATTAGACTCAAAATATATGAACATATTGGAAAATTTTCTAATATTTTTATCGGACCATGTTTTTTATGTATTTAGAAGACTTTTATTTTATTTTTTTAATAATGTTTTAAAAATTTATGATTCAAATTCAACATTTTTTTTAATGTTTTCTGTGTATTAAGGGTTTTAATCTAAAATTTAAAAAAGGTAAAAATAATAAATTTGTTGATAAATATCTCTATTTTATTTTTGTTAAAAGTTAAACATGTGGAATATATTATATTATAAATTACACGTCACTATAAAATAAAAATTGATTAATAAGCGTTGATATTCATCCTAGTATTAGTGATAAATATGGTTTATAACAACATTTTAAATATATAAAAATATGATGATTTTTGTAGAAAAATATGTAATAAAGAAAAGTGTATATTTGGATTTTTTTTTTTAGGTGGAACCAAAATTAACTATTTGAAATTATTAAAAATTAAGTTAAAAAATAAAACAATATTACAAATATAATTTTTGAAAAAAGGAGAGAGAGAAATCGACCGACCTAAAGCAATGCGCCGCTTCTTTATTTATATTATTTGATTAATTTGAATGGAGAAGGACAGGAGCGTAATTTCATTAAAATACGAGGGTATTAACGTAAATAAGGTAATATTCACGAACCAAATTGCGTGCTCAAGAAATAAGAGGCTGAAACGGAATAAAAAATAAATAAATAAATAAAACAAACGAAAAACGGGAGATTTTTGGGTTTCCCATTTTGCTTCGTTTCTTTCAAATATTCAAAAAAGGAAGAAAAAAACACAATTAATTTAATTATTTGTAAAGGAGTTTCGGTTTTTTTTTTTTTTTTTTTTTTTTTTTTTTTTTTTTTTTTTTTTGTTCCCTTTNGTTCCTTTCACGCCGCAGAGAAAGAAAAATACAACGCAGAAACCCTAATAACAAACTTCTGTAACGGAGGAATTTTCGATTTTTGTTTCTCTTTCTGAGATTTTTCAAAAAAAATAAAAAGAGGGAAAAGAGAATTTGAGATATGAGAAACACCAACTTATAATCCGGAATCTGTATTCTGTTATTCATCTTGTTCTTGTAAATCTAATGGCGGAAGATAAAGAGAGGGAGAGTGGACAGAGCATCGCCACATGGGGGACATGGGAGGAGCTTTTACTGGCCTCTGCCGTCATGCGCCATGGATTTAAGGACTGGAATTCTGTCGCCATGGAAGTTCAGGCTCGTTCTTCTCTCCCTCATCCCCTAACCACCGCCTCTAACTGCGAACTCAAATTTCTAGACCTTAAACGACGGTTTACTACTTTTCAAAACGATGCCGTTTTGAACGAGAACGGCGCTGGAATTACCGATAACGTCGATAGCGCCGTACCTTGGGTTGATGAGTTGAGGAAACTCCGCGTTGCGGAACTCCGACGAGAGGTCCAGAACTATGACGTTTCAATCAAGTAAATCTATATAGGTTTTTTTTTTTTTTTTTTTTTTTTTTTCTTTCGGTTTTTTCTCTTTTTTTTTTTTGAAACGTTATGTTTATCTTATTATTTTCAGATCTGAGTTCATCGTATTGAGATTTTCGGCAGCTCGTTGCAGTTGAAGGTCAAGAGATTGGAGGAGGAGCGAGACCAAGGCTTGAACGACAGCGAGGCCGGCACTGGAAAACCAGATCTAAAGACGGAGGCCAGAGAACGACGATCAGAAAACGACAAAAAGCTCTTCGGAGAACCAGACCACCGGTCCGGATCGAAGGGAACAGTCGTGAAGCCAGCGGCGGTTCCTGGAGAAGATTCCGACCGGGAGGATTTCTCCGTCAACCAATCCAATTCCACCGGTTCCAAGAGCGGTAACCGAAAAAGCACAGCCGAAAACACGAAATCCGAAACCAAATCGGAGTTCACCGGTTCATGCAGACCAGAACCGAACCGGAGAGCCGCTGAACCATCCGGACCGCAGTCGGACGACGGCAGTACGGACACTGTGGTTAAGAACCCGACGTGCGACACATCTGGCACAAAGAAGAAAAAGGAGACGAAGCGAGTTGACAACTCGTCCGAGTTAGCGGACTCGGAGGCTGAATCAAACGGCGGAGGAACCGCAACGAGGGAGAGCAGCGAAGTACAGAGCTCGGCGAGTTTGACGGGAAGGATGAAGAGGAGGAGATTCCTTAGAAAGGAGATCTCCGGCGGTAGCAGTGGGAACGAACCTCGACGGACTGTCGCCGTCAAGTCACGGCGGTTCGATGAGGTTTTGCAGATGATTCGATCGCATAAACATGGCTCCTTGTTCGAATCCCGTCTTCAAAGTCAGGTACCATTTTTTCCATTTCCAATTTTTTCTTTTCATAAAATAAATAGTTTTAAAATCATTTTTTTTAATTTTAAAAATAATATTCGGTAGAAAAAATATAATCACAACAATTTGATGGCATGAAATTCCCATTTTCGGTTTAGCTTTAATTGGATAATTAGTGCTAAATTCAATAATTTCTAATTAAAATACCATTTTTGTCATTAAACAACTTTAAAATATTATATTAACCTTGCAAAAATTACATAAGCAAGTTAACCTCAATTAAAATATATAATAATTTAAAGGAGTGAATATTAAGGATATAATTATTTTGGGGAATTAATTTGATGTTTGAGGTCCAAAGCTATTATAAGCTTTTTCCACCAATAAATTTGGACCATTTCCAATGGGAACCAAAATGGAAGAAAGAGGAAAATCGGGGACCCATTTGGTTAAAAGCTTCTTCTATCCGCGTTGCTACCTTTCTTTTCGACTTTTTTTAATTAAATTAAAATACTGTTGCAGATGAAAACTATTATGTTTTTCTTCTTTACTAACAAATATTTGGATTAAGCAACTTCTATATATATATATATATTCCCACAAAATTTTCTTTGAGGCTCTTATATTATTTTCATTCCTAAATAAATGAATGAAATTAGTGTTTAAGTTATCGAATTGATTCAAGTCAAGAGCTGAATTCGGACCTTAATTTATATTTTATATTTTTTTTAAATGTGTAGTATATGTAAAATGGTTCTTGTTTTTTTTTTTTTTTTTTTTTTTTTTAATAAGAATCTTCCCATCAATATTTTGGAAATTTACTTGTGCTTTGTTTTTATTTATTTATTTATTTTAAATAATTCCAAATTGGAAGGGTTCTAAAGAGAGTATTTTGTCCTGGCATATTGGATGTG